AAGGGGTTGGGGGAGTCGTATGGACCGGACGATACGAGAGCTCTTGCGGGCTCGGAAAATCGGGAAAAAAAAAGCCGAAAGCTTTGCTCGATTTTAATCAACCGAATTTTCTATCTCTCAAGGACCGCGATTAATAATTGCCGATTTCAATCAACTGCTTTTGACTTTTCATGAATCAGCGAGTCATTGAAGGACTTTTCATTAAAAAAGGGAAATGGTTTTTATCAACTTTGGGGTTTGCAAATGTCATGGCTCGTCTTGAGGTGGGGGCGGGGGGGTTGCAATTACTCGGGAGAGGAGGTCATGTCCCGGGTAGTCATAACGTCATAACGTCATAACGTCGCAAGCTCCAAGTATAAGCTCGTCATTACTGGACGAAAACCCGGGATGGGAAGGTATCTTGTCATTCGCTTAGAAACCCTTCGAGAAATTCCTGAAGAGGGTAAATTTGTTACCCCCGATCGATCTAGAAGGGGCGGAATCGGGCTCGATTGAGAAACCCACTTTTCCTCCTGGACTACCTCTTTCTCTACACTAAAATGTTATAAGATTTCCCCGAGGGGATTGATTTTCGATCTTCGGAAGATTTCCCCTAGATTGGGTGGCCACTTTCGTCGGGATGTTCCGGAGTTTCGTCGATCCTCGAAATCCACCGATGATCGATTTTTCATCCCCCTCCCATTCCACGGAAACACTTATTCCTGCGTAAATCCTCCACTCTTGGTATACACCGTGAAAAATCGTAAAACCGCCCCTTGACGTCTACAAACCTAAAGATACATATCAAACTGTCACGTATATAAAAAAGTGAAAATATTTATAAAAATCGTCTCCAAACCGTCCGATAGGACTGAAAAAAAAAAAATCCTTCGAAATTACAGTATATTTTTTGTAAGCGCAGGAAAGTAGGCACAATTTCTGAAATTTGACGTTTCACTCTTTTCGAGAATTTTTCCGGTCGCCGTCGCTTTTCCCTCCACCCTCGGAACCGTTTAGCAGGGGTGTCACCTGTCGTCCCTCGGACCAAGGTGAGGGGACCACCGAGGGTTTAAGAATAAACCAGGCCCGTTATTACCTTTGCCATTAAAACATCCCCTTTAGTCAGCGTTTCACCTTGCGGAGGGTACAAAGTATGCACGGTGTCGCGAAACGGGTCGAGGGGAGCAGCGAAAGAGAGAGAGAGACTTATAGGGAGCGGAGGAGGTAAGAGAAAGAGAGGAGACAGCTTCTACCCCTAGGAGAGATCTTACACGTCGTTGCTCGACAAAGTGAGCCGACGTATCGCGCTCGTATTAATATCTACAGCCCCGACAGCTATGGCTACCATAATCGCCCCCCTTCCTCGAGGACGAGCCCCCCCCCCGCCTCGATAGGACGCTAAAATGACATCTGAAGAGTCAATCTTTCGTCAAAACTTTTCCCCAAACATATGCCGAATCGTTTCCAGCGTCACAATGGGAATACTAAGCCCACGAGGAAAGTCCGGAGACCCCCTAAATTTCAATTGTTTGAACATTTATTTACAAGCCCTCTTATAGATGCTGAGATTTCACGAGGGGTGGGACCTTCCTTACATCCTCCATATTTGTATTTCAAGTTCCAATCGACTCGGTACCCTCCAGTTTGAGGAAAAGCTTCACGAGGGCCCTTTAACGTCGCTTTTCCCCCGCCTTAAACCCTTCCGGGGGAAACAATGGAGGGTGACTTTTCCAGGGCACAATCGTGCGGAGATCGCGCGCCTCCCCTGTCTCTTTACGCGGTTTATGGTGCACTAGGACGTGCCCGGCTTTGTCGTCCAGGTCGAAGGGCCTCCAGGGCTGGACGATAACCGAGGGTGATTGATTGCGATCCGATAACGAGGTCCCGTCGCGTGTCACCGGCTTGTAAGCCGGACGGAGTTTCCACCGAGCTTGATATGGCCGATCGGGGGTGTCCCTTGCGACGTGTGAGGAGAAACTCCTTTTATTGCGAATTTTCCGATACTTTTGATCGACTGCTGCTCCCTAGGTTCGACGTGTAAGGGATGTTCACCGATTTAGCGGGGAGGTCCGCCTAGGGAATTCTTTTCTCACCGCGGGTGCTCCGCACCCTCCTTCCCGCGCGCAGTTTCTTCAACTCCAATCGTGGAACTTTTTTCAAGTACTTCGTTTTTTTTTTCTTTTCTTTAATTCGACGGCTCGTTTCACCACTAATTTCCCGATACTTCCGATTATTCGACACACTCGAGTGAGTTACTCTGGTGCACCTCGTCCACGGGTGCGCGCGCAACCCGCGCTGCCGCGACGCGTGCGAGGCCCCACGGCGGTGTCGCGCCAGTTCGTCGCTGACCTCCGAGGCGGGAGCACGTGCGTGTGCGTCAGGTGCCGTGCCGAAACGTGCTCCCCACGTTAGCCCCGTTGCAGCTCCTCTTATATTATTTTTCTTTTCCCTCGTCTCCTCCCTCTCGCTCTCTATTCTCGATTTACGACCTCTTCCCGACTTTCCGCGTCGCGAAGTGCGGGATTCCCAATTTCCCTCGTCCACCTCTTCGACCCTCTTATATTCCCAGAAGCTGAGGACGTCGGATTAAGACCCTTAACATTTATCCCTCTTTTTCCTTCTTTTTCTTTCGACATTTCTAGACTTTCTACACTCTTTTAGCACGCACCTCGACTTTTGCCAGGAGGAATTTATCACCTTATCGCTCGTCCCGGAAATATTCAATAGTAGAGCGAGGAAGTTGGGGATATTTTTTTTTATTATCCTTTTATTTTAATTTCGATATATTCGCGAGATCCTTCGAGAGAGGGAGTCCATTTTCTCCAGGGAGAGGTCGTATCTATTAATGCTGGGGAAACATTTCCGAGGGGTAATACACCTGTTACGGATATGCGTTTTCATAACCCGGTGGACACGATCGGCCGTGTTTTTATTTCATCCGCGTGTCCCAGATATATCTCTGCAGGAAGTACCGGAGATATATTACGTGCCCTAATTTCTAAGTGCACTCTACCGGTGTCGAAGTCACTTTTCTAATTATTAACGTCGTACCTCCGATGAGTCTCGTTACGATCGCGTATCCAGGCGTGATTAATCCGCCACGATTCTCCCCCCTTTCCTCGCGAGTGGAGTTTGCGGATGAAAAATGAACACGGCAAGTTTCCGGTGGAAAAATTGATACGAATCGCCCGAGCGTTTTTCGCGTTACTTTGCGGTAATTTGTCATCCGCGACGAAGGTTGGGAAAATCCGGAAAATGTGCGACATGTCGCTAATACCCTCGCGGTAGAAGTTTTCCCTCTCTCGAATTTTCCGAATCGGGAATTTAGAAGACTTTGTCCCATTAGTTAATTTTCATAAATTGACTTTTATCGCGACTTTTAAGATATGTCGCTTGATCTCGTTATTGTCAAAGTTAGAGTCAAAAGGACCCGAGGGATTTCAGTCGACGCGATAAGAAATGATTTCCCTTCCGTTTGTCCAGGCGGAAGAGAAGAACTATTCCAAGGAGCCGATAACGAGGAATCGTGATCTCGGGAAAGCGGAAAAACCGGAGCACCGCGCCTGGTCGATTTTCTTAGATGAAATTCAATTTCTCCCCGAGGGGATAAGTCGTATATATTTGCGTGTATACTTTATACACGAGTTGTCGGCCGAGACGTTATCGCACGATCGCCTGTAATCCACTTTGGGAGGCTAAACCGAATTTCACGTGTGAACGGCGCTTAAAGCGGATCTCACGGCTCTTCGCCGACTTTAGGAGCTTTAGTTGGCGGGATGTGGAAAATTGCGTAAAAAAAAAAGGAGGGCTCTTTTTATTTTAAAGATGAGAAAATACACGGAGGGCCTTTTCGCGAGAAAGAGGGAGACAGAGGGAGGCAAAAACTCACCCGCGATGATCCGCTCGCTCGTGGTTAATCGCGTTATTACCGGCATCGTCGGGCCTCTATCCGGGTGTGTAGCAGAAGGAAATGCCGAGGCATCTTGGCAAAGACTCGCTCTAACCTTGACTGTATTTTTATTTATCGATTCGGTTATTAATATGAAAGCGGCGCCGCTTTACGGCTTGCTGGCCGGACGGTTTATCATCAGGGTCGCGCGAGCTGCGACGTACAAGGGGAAGATAAAGGAAAAAGGGGTACGGTGCGTGTCGCGCCCTGAATAAAAGATGAAAATCATTTCTTTGATTCAAGGAAAATTCCTGGAAGAGTTGTAAAACAATCGCACGTGATGTACACACGTGCGCAATCCATGCGTCGCCAGTGGTCAGAGCAGTCGACGTTAATTTATAATTAAAAAGATAATAATTATGAGATCGATCCAAAGAGAATGATTTCTTGGGTAGTTTTTCCCGTTCTATCCTTCTCTCATTTTCTCTATCCTTGTCTTCGAGGGTATGGAATAATTGATCTCATTACCGTTACCGCGCTCCCGGCCAATACGACTCGATATCTCATATCGGCCTTTGGCTCGTTTCCCATAAGGCGATTCGACATAAGAAAGAGGAAAGGGATCCAATTACAGGCCCGGAATAACCGGAACGGGACTCGGTACTTCCTTCGAACTTCTTTTTATTCCCTGCCCTCCACCCCCTGGAGACAGATTTTTTCATCCTAGCATTCAGGACCTCCGACCTCCGGAAAAGTGGATTCGAACTTGCCGCTGATTTTCCCTTTCCCTCACTTCCAACGAATCGGATTCGATTTTTTTTCCTTCCCGTGGGATATTTCATGGGACATTTCATTTTTATTTTTTTAATGCGATATTCAGATTTCTGAAGCTGGCCTCCGGCAAAAGTCGAGGGATGATCCTTCGAGCTCGAAGTCATCGAAGGAACTTCCTTTTATCGTTATCTCTTATCTACCTCGCGAATATTTTTTTTTATTTTATTTTATATCATGTGGGATTCGATTAAATGAAGTCGGGAGATCTCCGCGGGAATTTTCTTTAATGCCCTTATAAATAAATAAAAAAGGTATTGAGTAGATCTACGGCAGCCGAACTTCGACCAGGCAGAGAAAATCCACTCGAAGTCGGAGCTTTTCGGAAATGCAGTGATCCTGGCCGCCCATCGGGGGATCCTTCGATCTCGATCGAGAGAGGAGATATGGACAAGGATCGACATGCTCGAGGTAAAGGATTAGAAATCCCTCGTCCATCTTGGAGGCGAATTTATCAGCCGTCTGGGTGACTTTCGAACTTTGAAAGCCTTCCAACGCCAAACTTTTCGCGGTTCTCCAAGTCGAGTCTCGCGTTCTCAAACGTGTGTACACGAAGTACATACTCGGTTCGAGTACTCCTTACTTTACGCTCCGAAGAAGTCCGAAATGACTTTCCACGTGTTTGACATGACCCGAAATTACGATATTTTCAAGACCTCCACAATCAGGCGTTCAAGTTTCGAATTAATTTTCCCCCCAGAAAAGTTTAATAAATATTTTCACTTTTCCATGTATATAGAGTGACCCTTTCGTATCACCTTAAGTTGTACAGAATTTACGAGCATAATTAAGGGCGCTCCATGCTCCAATTTGCATGTCTGAATAAACGCGCCGTTAAACGCGTAAATGTTGCATGAATTTGTATCATGGCTGGGGAAATGATAAAACGATGCCGATAACGAGCATCTCGAGGATAAGAAACAGAGCCACATCGGGTTGGCTCGTTTCCTCGGACGTGGCGTTTCTCCCGGGCTCTTTGAGGCGATTCGCGCTAAGGAATCCCGAAGGAAACCCGGAGGAAACCCGGAGGAAAGTCGAGGGAAATATTTCCCCATCCCGCGACGACGTGGAGCTAAATTATTTCCCTCGTTTCCCGGGGCCGGGAAACGCTCGCGAGTCGCCTAAGGTTGATTTAAAAAATCGCCTTTCCAGCCGTATCCACTAAGTGAGAGAAAGAGGGAAACTATTTCTCCCGCTTTCCCCGTAGAAAAGGTTTAGCAATAATTGGTCATAGATTGACTAAATAGACCGATTGATACGACGGGTCATGATAAACAGAGCACATCCATCGTACTTCGATCTCGAGATAATCACGTTTAATTAGGGGTGAATTTCGGTAAAAGCACCCTCGATCGAGCTTTTAGCAGTTCGACTGTCATCCAGTTATATTATGAAAAGTCCTCTAAGGCACTAAAAGCCTCCAATTACGTGTTTCTCTTTTTTTTTTTTCACGCTCTGAAATGTCCTATGCATCGCATTGCCGCATTTCTACTCTGCTAAAACGAGGTATTCCAGTTTTGCTACATTTTTAGGGCAAGTTTTATTTAGACGCGGTATAATGACATTTGCAACACTCAAACGAAATTTATTACACGGGTAATCATTTCGAATTGTATGTGTGTATTGATTTTAGAATAATACTGGAATAAATTGGTCACCAGGTTTTTTCGGAATTGTATATATTAAGAAAATATTTCTGCGATTCCATTAATCCTTCCTTCCTCGGGGTAAAAGCGTGGGAATTTTCTGGATATCACGGATGGTGTATTTAACCACGAGGGAAGTCGGCGGAAGCCGTGCCGCCATGTTGGAAAGACTCGTTAAAAAGACGAGCGAAGTTGACGTTTTTTCAAAGAGACGCGGTCAAGTGGCAATAAAAAATTAGAACGCCAAAGTGGACCCCGGGAGCATTCAACTAGTCCATGGAAACAAACCGGAAGTGGGCTTGGAAAGGGGTGAGATGAAAACGGAGATGCTCAAACGGGCCGGGGAGAGGAAGGGAGGAAAACCGAGTCGGAGGATGTGAATGGAAACTCTTTTATGCCGCGCCATTAAATTAAGACCCGAGGGATGCACCTTCAATAATTCCGCCCAGAAAGGAGAACTTATACCGCTCATTTAATCCGCAACGCGGCATTTTCCTACATTAATTTCGGATTTGCGAAACATTAACTAGGAGCATGAATAAATCCTAATAAGGCTTGTTAAGGCGGGATGAAAGTGGCGTCAAAGAGGTCTCGTTAGTCAAACTTCTTTTTATTTTTTTTTCCGAACCGAGTACACCGAATCCTTTCAAACTTTACAAAGTGATTACGGAGGCTGTAAGAAAACTCCCGACACCCATGAAATTTTGTAATTTTTAAAATTTCATTCATGTTTTTACAATAATTGGAAATTCATGGGTGTTAGGACCTTTTTCATGGTCTCTAGATTCAAGTCTTCAACGATTCGATATACTCAATCTTGAGGAAAGATTTATATTTCCGCGGTTTGATATATGTACATTTATAGAATGATCCTTTCATCCCACCTTAATTAGCCGAACGAACGGTCGAGATCCGAAATTGTCTCGAATCTCTTGTGAGAATTCGCGAGGTCGTCCCGCGACTAATTAGAGCACCGAGTTACCTTCGCCAGGTACAATTGACACAAGGGGAGTCGACTTTTTCTTCTTCCTTTTCCCTTTAATAAGTCTCGCTATTTGCCGCGGCAAATGGCCGTTTATCCCCGAGTTTGTGCCCCACTTTTTTTTTTTTTCAAGGGATGCGACCATCCCCATCGTTTCTCATTGTTCAAATCGCGCTGTCCACCTCTTTCCCCTCAATTATTTTCACTATTTGGATTTTTATCTTTCCGTCGCCTCTCCCTCTCTCGATATTCTTCCTCCCCTTGAAATCTCTCTTCATGACGTGCCGGAAGTCGAGCAAAGTTCCGAATTTCCCGCGACACAAAGGGCCCCGGGTCTCCAATATTTATCGAGGCTCGTCCTTTGGCCACTGGCGCGACTTTTGACAGTTTGACAGGCCTTTTGGCAGTTCGCTGACGAGGCGAAATCCGAGGTCTCCTTTTTGTCGGGGGCCAGGACTTATCTGGCTCCGCCATTTTTGCTCTTCCCTCCACCACGATAATCCGACTCGCGGCCGAAGTGGAAGCTTAAGGCTTTACCAAAGTACCATTCTAGATTTACCAGACGTCAAAACGTAGTAGTAAAACTTTCCTCCTAACTGCGTTCACCTGATCATTCGAAACTTTGGCAGGTGATCGCGTAGGTCCTAAAGGAAGGTCTTTACACTCGCGAAATTTCATTTCTCCAATGTGAATTTCTTTATTCATCTCGCAGAAGTACCGAACAATAGATTTATTTTTTCACTGATGAAATTCCTTGAGTTTTGAGACCGAGCTTTAATGGTACCGCGAGGTTTCTCTCGGCATCTATTAATCGGACATTTCTTCTCTTTAACCGTGGAAAAGGTGGGGAGGATGGCGGAAGAGAAGGTGGAAGGAGGTACCGAGGTGGAAGCACTCTCGGCACAAACGTAAGCTTCTTAGCTGGCTGGTCGGCTTCGTCCAGGCCTGTTATTGGATTATATTTGTCTGGCGTATAAATCTAGCGCGAACGGATTGCGTTTCTACTTCTTAATGTTTCCCGGAAAATCGCACATTCGCAGGAAAATTTTCCGCCGGGAAATTCAGTCGAGATAATTCTAAGCCGAGTGAAGAAAATTGGAATTTCTTGGGTAAGGATGCTTTTTGTCCTTACATTATTTGTGATTATCACGAGCCGTGTCGAGCGGTGTTTCCGCTCGAGTTAGGAGTCATTCCGGTCTGTCCTATTCACCTGATAATGGGCGGTATCTCATGAAATGGAATCGAATTTTCGTGTCGTCACGGTTTCGATAACCAATGGAAATCCAGGAGGACGGGACGCACAGATTTTACGACAGCCTTAAAGTATCGAAAATGCCGTTCCTCCCAAAAAAATGAATTTCATTTAATCTCGATTAAATTTCTCGTCGCCTTTTCGCATCGCTTTAAAAAACAGTGTCTGGGTGAGAATCGACCGATTCGAGGAGGGTCTCACTTCGCCTTAATTCAGAGCGTGAAAACGACCCTTCCTTTTTTTTCCCTTTTTTCTTAATATTCCGGATATCCCGGAAGAATCGAAGCGGCATTTCGCATCGCGGCCATTCCGCCGATTGGGCGGCACTTCGCGAGATGGAATCGAATTTCCTTGTCGCGGTCACGGTTTCGATGACGGATGAGACAGAGAGAGACAGAGAGAGAGAAGGGAAACGAAGGGTCCGCCGATCGGCAATTTCCCCGGGACTTTTCTTTCGCCTCTTTTCCTTGTCCCTATTCTCCCGATTTTTTTTTTCCGCCGGATTTTTTCGGGACTCCGCTCGGATTTTTCCAACTCTTTTTCCGAATTTTCTCCCGTGGATCCTCTCATTCTCGCCGAGTCCGCAGAAGTGGATTCGAACATAAAGGACGGCTGGAAGGGGGATGGAATAAAAAAATCGCCGATGGAAACCCCGAAGGGGTTGCAACCCTCCGGGGGCGAATCTCCCGCGAAAGTCGGAAAAACGACGATTTATCATCCGCCGATATTTCTGTTTTTCATACCTCTATTTCTCTCTCTCTCTCTCCTCTACTCCAAAGCGTACTTGACGAGTCGGGCTCGTTTGTCACTCGAAAAGAAGAGACATTTCCAGTTTTAACATAGGACAGAACTGATAAAGTTTCGTTTTTACCTTTGCAACTATTATAGCGACATTTTCGACGAACGGGAATTCTCGTGAAAAACCACGTAATTTGTCATTTCTAACTAGAAAGTAATTTCGATTTTTCCCACTTCCTGCAGATATCATATTTCTTTTTTCTCAATTCTCTTTGTCAGCGGAGACTAGAAAGGGGGGGTACAGCATTTTTATTTCTCTTTCATGAAAATTCAGACTCTCTCGCGAATGCATCCATCGAAACGATGAGCAAGGGTTGCTTTTTATCGATCATCCGATAGATGTGTGTGTCGAGGGGTGCGCACTCCTATCGGACGTATCGGATAACAGGAATGACGTCAAAATTTCCATTTGTTCCGATTTTTCGTTTTTTTTTCCCCGCAAAATCGACCGAGCCATTGTCGAGGAAGGAAAATTGGGAAATTCTAGAAATGCGCTTAACTCCATCATTAATTCCTATTATCGAGGAAGACTTGTTTTTTTTTTTTAACGCTTTGATAAGTTCGCCGCGATATCGAAATTTTGCCTTGAGGTGGCATATGGAGATTTTTTAGGTTTTCAATGTTTTCAGTGAAGTAGGTGATATCAGGGATCCGAAGCTTATCTCGAGGATGCATTCGCGATGAAATGCATACTTCTCTCTCTTGGGAGAATTTCTCGAAATCGCGGATTTCT